GTGCTTTCCCTGCCTCCATACACAAATGTCAAATAAAAATGTTACCAGCAACATTAATAGGCATGAAGGACACCAGGAGGAATCTTTCCTATCTACTTCTCTGAGCTGTCTTACTTTTTTTTTTCTTTTTTTTCTTTTTTTTTTTCAAACTGGGGCTCGGGGCAGGAGCTGTGAATTCATTGAATATTTAGAATTTTCCTGTACACTTTTGAAAGCAGTGCATTTTTTTTGCAACACCATGTGTAACTCTTCTTGATATTAAACTAAAGTTAGAGCTAACTGTATCAACGCATCTTTCTGAACCATAAAGGCATAAATATTTTTCCTTTAAAATCATAATCTGTATGATGACTCTCTTGTATTTTTCACCTCACACCTGTGAGCATCTTGTGGAGAAGCACTGCTTGTCTAAGCTGCGGAGGGATGAGAAAAATGAGAAAGCAGCTCTGTGGCATGACGATGCAAAGATAATTTATCCATACACTATTAATATTGTGTTAAGGAGGAATTAAGCTTCTGAATACATATTAAGTATTTAAGATTAATAGAATATAACTCAATCTTGCAGATATTTTAGTTACTCCACAGTGCAGTTATATACCATAGTTAAATGGATTTCAAGTGTTTCAAGACCCTGCCAAGTTCAATCCTCTATGTGAATCCTCTGTGTGAATCCTATATGTGAAAACTTGTTTAGATCTCCCTTCCTTTGTATATTGTAAAAAAAAACTGTACTGGGCACATTTTTTTCCGTAGAACTCATTGTTCAATTATCTTAATTTCCAAAATAAATAGAATTTCTGTTATTTTTTTCTGGTACATTCCATTATGTGCTCAAAATGTGATACTTTGGGAAGAATGAGCACAGTATATATATTTTTATGTGCGGTAGAATGGATGTTTTATTTTAAGTGATAAGTACTCAGTTGACAATGGATTTGACACCCATGACTCTCTAGGAATTAGAGTTTTATTTCTAAGCACTTTTCATTCAACACCAGTAATGTTCTTGTCTGAAACTGGAGCAGGGTGAAACCTACTAGCCAATGTGTAGAACACAAAAATGTAGGTTACTACTGATGAGAAGCACCACAAGATGCCTGTGCCACAAAGGAAGCATTTGCCTGAAATCCCAAGTCATGTTCTGTTTTGAGACCATTCTTGTCTATAAAATATTATTTAAAAAGGGGGAATAAAGTCAATCAAGAGATCCTTAGGTAGCCATACATTGTTGAGGGTAGCCATCCAGCTGTACTGCTACTATGAATTTCAGGGCCGTAGTTTTATCTGGGATTTGTGTCTAAGGATCTGTGCTCCTTAGAATTAGGCCACACTTGCAGCTTGATGGCTCTTTCACAACCAGCATATCTAAATGCTACGCCTTGTTCGCAGGCTTTTCCAACCCATTGGAAGTTCAATGAGGGGCTATGTCCAAAAGACCTCTTTTGGTCTTTTAAATATTTCATTTTTGGAGGGGACACCCTGCACATAATGGATCAGAGCTGAAGAATTAATAGTACATGTCAACAACAGAGAATTTCTACAAGTATCTGCTGCAGATGATTGGGACTCCTTTCAAACTCATATTCAGAAACATTTACAAGTGAAATTTATCCTGGTACTTTCACACTTCTTTGTTTGAGAGGAGAGGAGAAAAAAAGAAGAAGAAATAACCATTTATTTGGAAAGGCTTGTTTTCTTTTTTGTGTGTTGCAAGCAGTGTCATGATGGGAGTCAGCAGCAAGGCGCTAATCAGTGAGAAATGAGTTTGGCAAGCCATAGGAAAGGAAGGTTTTATGATGGTGCATTGACAAGCTCTATACAAGATCTACACTGTTTGACAATAAATGTCTGCATACTAAGAGCCAGACCTTTTCCTAAGGAACAGATGTAGAGAAAGGGAGAATTTATTATTCCTAGCTCAAGAGGAGGAAACTTGAAGGAAAGGAGGAGGCTGTGCCTTGTCCAGAATTCAAAGGGAACGTGCAAATGCCCGGTGCACTCAACGCATGACTTAGTGAGAGGCGATGCTCGCAGATCCTTTTCCCAGCTGGTTCTGCCCCTCCTGAAAAGGTCAGCTCATGTCACGAGTATTGACTTGCAGTAGCCGGTGCCGGCAGCTCAGCAGTTTTGCTGGGTGGATGGAGCATGGTGTTGTTTCTCAAGTGTGCGCTCTTTGTGCAGCTCCTGCGTCCCAGCCAGCAGCATGGAGGCTACGATTGACTCATGGCAACAGCTTTTGCAAGACTGACACTTTATCCAAAACTTGTATTGTGGTTTGCATGTCTTTGCAGCAGCTGACAGTTTCTTCCTCCTATCAATCATCTGTCTAACTGCTTCCAGGTTCAGTTCAGCTAGGGAGATGGTGCCATAAGGCTTGCCTAGTGTTCCAACTGCTAGCCTAGTGGGAAGAGGGAATGCAAAGAGCCGGGGGGGCTTTCATTGCTGCAAGACAGGAGAAACTCTGGGTGTCAGTGGAGAGTCTGGTGGGAGTCCAGGAGAGAGGCTAAAGTCCGTGTAGCTGCTGTGACAAGACTGTTAAGTGGGTGAAGTTAGAAGGTTTTTCTAAAACAGTCTATATAATAATAATGTATATAGAATCTCATTCTGGGGAAGAGGAACCAGTTATGTTGCGCTCCAGTCCTGATAGGGTGTTAAAAACTTTACCAGAAGGAATAGTCACACCCTAAAAATAGGTAATCTTTTCTGCAGGTTATTTGCTTTCCCTGTATGCTGTATTGGTGTCCAAAGGGTTGTCACTAGCACACACTGATGGCAAAAGGCACAAATCTCGCTTCTGCGTTATTGTTTCAGGTCTTCTGGAGAGGTTTTATTTTCTGTGTATGTGTGTGTTAACAGAATACAAACAGAGCACAGCTTTTAGAAGAAATAAAAGCTGGGTCGCGGGAATAATTAGCAGTCTGTCTGCCCTCTTTACAGTGTCTTTGCATAGTTCTCTCTGGTTTTGCAGCAGGATGGACAAGATCTCCCAAAGCGTCTTGGAAAAGGACCATAGACTCTTCAGTTTGTTGTAGGACTAAGGATTTGTCCCTGGGCATCTTGCTAGCTCACACAGAGCCTTAATGAGGGCACAGTGAATGAGTAAAGGTGGGGATGTTCACAACAGGGCTAGACAAATGCAGCCGAAGGGTTTGTTGTTTAGATTAGATGCTCAGTGAGAACAGCCTAAACCCCGTGTATTTACATACACTAGAAAGGAAACAGGAGGACAATTTTAAAACGTAGAAGATGGATTCTTTCTTACAGCAATACCTGACAGTGCTATTTAGGTGACTTCTTATCTGGATGAGCTGTCATGCCATCAACAGCATCCCAAAAAGGAAAGGGGTACCCTATTGTAATGTGTATTTTTACAATGCTTTTCGTATTTAAATATGCTTAATGACACAGGTATTCAGGAGAGTACTTTTAACATGCACGTTTTTAGTTGCTGTCTAAAATAACTGATGGTTTCAAACTAACATTAAAGATATCATCCTTCTTGACAGCACAAATGTGATCCAAAATCTAACATGCTAATAGTTCTTGATAAAAGCAGTGACTGGATCAGACGAAAGTATTCAATATATTGATACTGTGGAAGCTAGAGTCTGCTTTTTATGTGTCACTATAAAATAGCAGTTCTTCAAGATCTGTACAGGCTTGATTCATTTTGCCTAAGCACACAATCTGTAGTGAGACTCTTATTTGAAAACTTGTTTCATAGCTTTTATCTGTTAAAGCAATTCTACACTTAAAAGTTCACAAGTTAATTAAAGGCTGTTCTTACTAAATTAACTGTTTAACTATTATGTAGCACTGAGCATTTTTGGTCTTGTTTTTCTTGTTTGATATGATGATTATGTGAATATCTAGCTGTCTTATCAGTAGTAAACCTATATAGAAAAATCAGAGTTCAAGCTTTTTCTAGGTGACTGTCTTTCAGATGTGCTTACAGAGCAGTAAATTTTAATGATTTACTGACTTTTCTTATAGTAAGAGACCTAAATGCTTTTAAATAACTGTTCCCTGTTCCTGTATGCATGGCACAGTGTGATTTTCTAAGAGCTTTCTGTTAGTATAAATTGCCTGGATTATCCCTCCACCTAAAAGCGTGTGGAGTCCTGCTGGTACATTGACTAGCAATTTAGCAGCTGGATGGAAGACTTGTTCTTTATCT